AAATAAACACTATGTGCCAACTTTTCTACTCGACTTTTGGTATCTGTAGTCTTTATAACCAAACAAATATAATCTAATACTAATAAAACACAAATTTTTCTTGAATAAGTTTAATTTTTTCTGTAGTGGATAAGAAAGCTACCTATTAAGTTATGTTGTTTCTAAGTCTTGGCTAAACACTATAATATTATTTTTTTAAAGCTTATATGTGTGGATTAAAAAAATAATCGTACACTTTTTTATCAGCTTCAGTTTAGTAAGTAGTGATTTCCCATTAAATTAGCATACTGTTTATGGAGTAATTAAGATGTGAGGTACAGTCGTTCGTCAACACCGATCAGGGCTTTTCAGTTCGAAAGATAAGCCCTCTGTGGCTCAGCGGTAAGTTTGAGGGCTTCTAACGCAAAAAAAATCGGAGTTCGACAGGCGTAGATAGTCCATTGTGTATCTTTGTGTTTAAAAACAAATGAATTGAAAGATAAGAACAAAACTACGTAAGATGCCAAAATTAAGTATTTTTCCTTACCTATAACTGAACAAAGAGAATACAGAAAACAAATGAAGGCAACTTTTAGAGTATTTCTTAATTGTGCGCTTTTGTATATTTCCTTATAATAATAATAATAATTGAGAAAGAATTGTTTTTTTTTTTAACTAAGATCGTTTTAGCTCCTAATTTGAGGTTATTCATGACATTCGATTCTGTCTCAAAATACGCACGCGAGTGCATACTATAGATCACGATACGCTTTCATATAAGTCAATCCACCGAACAGTTTTTCCAACCAGCTAAGTTAGCGCAGAATCATTCTTAAATACTGTAGTACTTAGAGGGCCTAATTTTGCATATAAACTATTCTTAAGTACAGTTGTACTGAGAAACGTTATTTTTTATATACACTATATTAGTTGGTTAGTTGTCACCCAGCAAAAAAAACACAATATTAGTGAAAACCCACACTGCACTGAACTTAAAAATAAATTCAACTTAAATGCATTTTGTCTTTTAAGAAACATTTAGACTTAAACACTCGTAAAGCTTGAAATTACTTCTCGAACGTAGGAAAAGTTCTAACCAAATTACATCAAATTAAATAATTAGTAAAGTACTAAGTCAAATAATTTACATTTCGGTGTTAGGGATAACAGAACTTGTCATAATTATTAGATGCATGATGGCACACAGTCTAACCGTACATTCACTCACGCATCCATACTCATACATACAAGTGTATAATTAATTACATTAATTCAACGCAAAACTATTAAAAAATAAACTGTATTAATAAATCATGTTACACCATAAACACTTCAGTTATAAGATAAAACACATCAAAAACGTGTTTTAAAATCCGGATTACATGACTTCTTTTCATTACAAGTATAATTATGATTTTTTTTACACGACAATATAGTGTGCGAGTAAGTTATCTTCTGCATCGCAATAGAACTTACTATATATTCTTTATTAAAATGATGCTTAACTGATTATGTTCTAAAGGTGTATGTGAGATAAGCATCCGATCCTGCCACCGTTACTACTTTTGTTAGAATTGCATTTAATCGTAATTACAATAAAAATAAAATTTATAATTTTGTTTATTATTATATTTATTATCAAATATCTTCATCGAGCAAACTTGTACATATATTTGAACTGAACAGTAGATGTAACGTACTAACTGTACAGAACTGAACAGTAGATGTAACGTACTAACTGTACAGAACTGAACAGTGGATGTAACGTATTAACTGTACGAACTGAACAGTGGATGTAACGTATTAACTGTACGGAACTGCACAGTGGATATAACGTACTAACTTCACAGAACTGAACAGTAGATGTAACGTATTAACTTCACAGAACTGAACTGTATATGTAACGTACTAACTGTACAGAACTGAACAGTGGATGTAGCGTACTAACTGCACAGAACTGAACAGTAGGTGTAACGTACTAACTGCACAGAACTGAACAGTAGGTGTAACGTACTAACTGTACAGAAATGAACAGTATATGTAACGTAACTAAATGCCCCAAATTGAGTAATGTATGTTACGTAACGAAAATACACTAAACTTAGTAGTGTTCGTGACATAAATAATTACTTGTGCAGAATTGAACAGTGTTCGTGACTTGGATAAGTAGCTCTGTATAAATGAACAATAATCGTGATGCGAATAACTAGCTGCGTAGAAATAAACAGTATTTATGCGCGAGTAAATATGAGATGCACGAAACGAAACCACATTGGTAGTGTGAAAAAACGAATAGCATGAACATGTCAAAGATCTTGTTATTCTCATACTTAACAATAACTTAAGTATTAAAATAGTGTTAAAACATCCTATCGTATAACACGTAAAAGCTCATACGGCTCTAGACACTCACCTCTAACTAACTGTAGCTGTTTAGCAAGCTCTTCTCTGTAAGATATTTCCTTGCGAACCTGTTCTTGAAAGGTTTCTAAAAGTAACAGAAACGTAAAACGAAGTTTTGATATGCATATCAGTTATAGCATGTACACCAAAAACAAACGACACTGATCATCGTTAACATGGTGTTACAATAGCTCGTAACTATATACCAGTAACAAGGTCACGGCGTTTTGTACTACTGCTTAAATAAAATCAAATTAAATTATATAGAATTCTGTGTATTAAGAGTGAACAACATTGGCAAATTACATGTTAGTTTCGGTAACATAGTAACCATCATTGAGGCTAGTATCTACAGTGTTAGCTTAACCTATATTAAACTCCAAGCTAAATAAATATTTTTATCTTTCACTGTGCAAAAAAAAAACAACGTCTTCTTTGGTTTCTATTATACATAGAAAATAAATTACGCAATTAAAAATCCGTGTAATTAAGATTACACTAAAACGTAAAATACTATTACAAATAAAAATTACATTGTGAACAGTTTCACGTTAAGATTACACTAAAAAAGTAAAATACTATTACAAATAAAAATTACATTGTGAACAGTTTCACGTTAAGATTACACTAAAAAGTAAAATACTATTACAAATAAAAATTACATTGTGAACAGTTTCACGTTAAGATTATACTAAAAAAGTAAAATACTATTAAAACACCTTTTACTGAAATAATTTCAGGACTTGAAAATGTCAACCCTGCTCTGTTACGTCTTTAAATAACTTCGTAGTTTTAACAATGGGAATATCTCTATAGATACTTATATATATACATATATATGTTCATAACAAATTTAAAAAAACAACACAAAATTCGTTAATTCTGATGCGTGTCTGCACATTAAAATTTGAAATTAGATGACCAAACATCAAATGCGCGAGATCTCTTGGATAAATTTCACACACGAGGGTTACATGTGATTAATTCCTTATAGATTATCAAGTCAGATGTATATCTATAAGGAATTAATCACATGTAATATCAAGTCAGATGTATATCTATAAGGAATTAATCACATGTAATATCAAGTCAGATGTATATCTATAAGGAATTAATCACATGTAATATCAAGTCAGATGTATTTACATGTGATTAATTCCTTATAGATATACATCTGACTTGATATTACATGTGATTAATTCCTTATAGATATACATCTGACATGATATTACATGAACACAAACCTCTCATTCTTTCATATTCTCTTTGAACTTTTTGTCTTGTTTCCGATTCTTGCAGAAGAACGTCAGGAAAAGAATCTAAAATAAAAAATATTTTATAAACGCTTAAACAATATAACTATTTGTTTATCTATTACGCTATATACATAATATAATAATAATTTTAGTTCTGATTTTGTTCTCATTACTTTGATGTATTTGTCAACCATTTTGGAAAAAGTTTAATTATAATCAATAACTCAAAATCTGTTTACCCATCAGATCATTAGCCACGAGTGTTACACGTCATCATTTTTAATAACCTACTCATTTTTATGACAGGAAAACAGTGTCAATTTACTTAATTAGTCTTAATACTATAAGTCTACTTATGTCAGTTACGTTTCGCGTAATATTGGCCATATTGAAACGGCCTTGAATTGCTGGAACGTTTTTTTCTATAGATATATTTTACTTTTTTTATGATAAATTTTTGAAATTAATGTAAACTCTCAATCTAACAAACTGAAAGATATATTTACTTTTATGGATACCAAAGTGTGGGGTCAAATAGACCCATAACAAAACAGGAGGGGGGGAAAGTTCTTCATTTTAAATAAATGAGATGTAAAAAATATTGATTATAAAATGAGAAAAAAAACAACTCAATTTTAGAGTTTTTCAGTTTGATACCAGTATCAAACCAATAAAAGAGATATATAAATAATACTCATACAGATGCTCAAAACAATGTTGCGAGCGTGATAGAAATTAATTGCAAGTTACCTTTGTCCACATTGGTATGGTTTCTCACGTCTTCCACTGAAGAACTGGTTGGAGCAGATCCTGAAATATCAGTGCCATCATATAAATTATCAAGACGTAAACATTTTCAGACTATTTTGTGATTATATTATTTATCGTACATGATCTATCTCACAATTTTATTTCTAATATACCGTGAAATGATAACATAGCGCACCCGGGGGCGTAACTACAAAAGATGCCCCCCCCGCAAAAAAAAGTAATTGGGCCCCCTATATTTATTTCCCTTGTTGCCAATTCTTAAAATTGTCAAGCTCTTAGGGTCCCGGGGGCGTACTTACGCCACTGAGCACAACAGAGCATAATCTCAATATATATATATATATTCTAGGATTTCGTAATGATCTCGTACTTTTTCAAACTATATCAGACAAAACAAGTCATTATTATTAGTTTTGAATATTTATTACTGATTTATTGAATTATATATGTACGTCTTTGTTCATGGCATTATGTGTATTAGAGACTGATGTTGTTTACCGATACAATCTTTCATGGTCGTGTTTTGTCTTTGGTTTAACTAAAGAAAGAACTTAGGGAAATAAAGTGTTTGATTAGTACTATACCGCCCAGAAATTACATGTTTTAATTAGAGCCTTACTTCATCTTAGAAACTATATATATCTAAGTTATAGAAGTTGGGTGTGGCCGAGTGAAATGGGTATGTAATTGTGAATCAGAGTATCCAAGGTTCGAGTCCGTTGTCGCAAAATAAATGTGCTCCACATTTTGGAACCTAAGTGTGTTATAAGAATGACGGCCAAAACCCACTATTCGATCAGAAAAGTCCCCAGTGGCACAGCGGACTTACAACGCTAGAAACCGGGTTTCGATTCCCGTGGTGAGTAGAGCATAGATAGCCCATTGTGTAGCTTTGTGCATAAATTCAAACAAACGATCAGACAAGAGTAGTCTGGGTGCTGACGGCGGGTGCAGTTGACTAGCTTTTTGTCTTTCACTTTAAAATTACGGACAGTTATGCATAGAGGGCCCTCGTGTAGCTTTGCACGAAATTAAAAAAAAAGAAAAACTTTTACGAGAAAGGATTATTTTAAATTTTAGCAGACACAAAAATCCCAGAAATAAATATGTTTTGTATAACGTAAATGAAAGTATATACAACTGGAGGAAAAAAAATAACTATCTATTTTTAAAGTATAATAATAATTCAAATATCCAGTCTGATGTCTATTCCTTAGATCTTTTTCATTCCTTAAATTTCAATATTTTATGTATTTTTTTTTTCAGAGCCCAATTTATTTCCATGCTCGCACACATGACACCGTAGTCTGGATGTGTCCGTAAGTAAGAGAATTTGACCATCAAAAGTATCACATAAATAAGATATATATATATATAGCATCGCATCGCGTGGACAGGGAACCAAAATATTACCCCCTGCTGGCTCTGTGTACTATATTTAGTTGTCTTGTGTTACTACGAACAGGGAAGTATCTGTTTCAATAGATTTTTGTTGTTGCAAATTACTGTATATTAACTGTTTATTCTGGAAGTTTTGTTTGTTTGTTTGTAGATAAACACAAAACTACATAGATATCTAAACCGGATTTTTAGCTTAGTAAGCCTTCAGATTTACCGCTGGGCCATTGGTGGGCTATTCTGGAAGTATTAGTGGAATGAATGAATAAAACGTGTCTGTAAGGGCATCATATCGAACATGTCTGTCAACTATTCATTACCTAATGACTACTGATTTAGGTAATGCACGCTAAAAATGTCAAATGTTTCTATATTATTTTTATTCCTTAGACGGACAGCTGATCCTGAAATAGATAATCAAGGCCAGTTGACTTTCTATTGTTTATAATAAGACTGACGTACTAGTAAAGTAGATTATTCTGTTTTTAAGAGGTTAATCATGACTTAATGTTGACTTGGAATACCAAAACGTTTTATAGTTTAATTTTGGGGGAAGAAGTATATTTGTAGCAAAAAGAGATCGGATAGTTTACAGTATGAACATGAAAGAAAAATTGACGACTAAAAAATAAATACATGGTTCAGAACAATAAGAGGATAAAGAAGACGTAAAATAAGCAACAGTATTTAAAACAAATAACATAAGCTTCTGTAGAAAACGTAAAATAAGCAACAGTATTTAAAACAAATAACATAAGATTCTATAGAAAACGTAAAATATGCAACAGTATTTAAAACAAATAACATAAGCTTCTGTAGAAAACGTAAAATATGTAACAGTATTTAAAACAAATAACATAAGCTTCTGGTTTTACTTGTTGATCATTAGTCCCAGCTGAATACGATATTTAAACTTTCTTTTTTCTACAAGTTTCAAGCAAATCTAAAAGCGTATTTAGTCTATAAAGAAGTAGAAATTGGTAAGTATTGGCGAAGTGTCTTCACCTCTAGTTTTATCAGTTCAAAATTTGCAGAGATAGCCTTGTGTATGGCTCGATTTTCAGGGATACTCGCACAAAGCCATCTGCGCTAGCCGAACCTAATTTTGAACTGATGTGCGAGAGGGAGGGAACTAATCAACAGTACAGCACCCACTGCCAACTCTTGGGCAACGCTAATCGTTCTTATAATGCACCAAGTGCGAAGCGCGATTTTGTGTGTGTGTGACAACGATTCGCGAAAATTTTTTAATTTTGAACTGATGTGCGAGAGGGAGAGAACTAGTCAACAGCACCCACTGCCAAGTCTTTGGTAACACTAATCGTTCTTATAATGCACCCAGAGCTTCATAGTGCGAAGCGCGATTTTGTGTGTGGGTGTGACAACGACTCGCGAAAATTTTTTAATTTTGAACTGATGTGCGAGAGGGAGAGAACTTGTCAACAGCACCCACTGCCAAGTCTTTGGTAACACTAATCGTTCTTATAATGCACCCAGAGCTTCATAGTGCGAAGCGCGATTTTGTGTGTGTGTGACAACGACTCGCGAAAAAATTTTAATTTTGAACTGATGTGCGAGAGGGAGAGAACTAGTCAACAGCACCCACTGCCAAGTCTTGGGTAACACTAATCGTTCTTATAATGCACCCAGAGCTTCATAGTGCGAAGCGCGATTTTGTGTGTGTGTGTGTGACAACGACACGCGAAATTCTGAAGCAAAAATGCTTCAATTACTAATGTTTTATGGAGAAGTAATATCGTTTTAACAGAATTATTATTTCGTTCATGTCGTTTGCCTACAGTGTGAAAGTACTTTCAAAATTTGTAGTGCATACTGGAATGACTTACACATTTTGGTAAAAAAGTTTAGAAAAAAACGACCTTTATATTCCAGTTATATATAAAATATTTTTTTATTTTATTTTAACCAACGTTTCGCCTTTGCGGCTTCAGCAGGGTTAGCACCCGTTTTACATGTAAGTTAATTTGGAAATAATTCCAGACTCGAGAAATAGAACATTGCAAACAGTTTTATGATTTAACGAATAATGTAATATCAATCAGTTGTTTATATTAACCCTGCTGATTTGTTTGTTTTGTAATTAATCACAAAGCTACACAATGGGCTATCTGTGCTCTGCCCACCACGGGTATTGAAACCCGGATTCTAGCGTTGTGAGTCCACAGACATACCTCTGTGCCACTATTTATCAAGTAAATGGTGATCCTTTTTTATACACAAACACCACAAACCCATCATTTTCGGGTTTTGATGTCGATGATAAATTTCTTAAACAATTTCATCTCACGAAACAAACATTAGGTACAAACACGCATTGTATACAATTTAAAAAGTTAGTTATAAATAGCTTTTAAACCGAATATTAATAAAAATTTAACTTAAACACCAACTTTGCGAAGGACAAGAAGCAGAGACTTGAAGATTGTGTTCTTTGTCTTCGGTCTGTTTATAACCATTAGTCTGGCTTGATACATCTGCAGAAAAAAATAGTTGGAATTTATGTAAACCTTAATTAAGAAAAAATTAAATATATCTCATTTTTTAGCATTATTCCGTACTTTTTTTAACACTGAACAGCTATGATCAAACAAAATAAATAAACCGAATATTTCACCAAAAAAACGTTGCAATAAATGAACTTAAT